TGCCCAAACCACCGACGCCTCGACGAGCTTGTCTGTAGTGTAGCGAGTATGTTGGAAGAAACGTAGGGGTGGGCAAACCCAAACATGCATATATTAAAAATTTTCATGAAGTCACTTGAACGTACTTGTGGGACTTTAGCCATGTCGGTAATTATCGACTACCTGGTGGGCGTCGCGAGATGATAATTGCCTCGACGAGCTTCGTTTTGTAGTGTAGGAGTATGTTGGAAGAACGTTAGGGGTGGGCAAACCAAAACATGGCATAAATCCATGAAGTCATTGACGAGTGGACTTAGCCATGTCGTTAATTATCGACTACCTGGTTGGGGTCCGCGAGATGATAATAACTGATGGTTAGAGACCCTGAATGACATGGCTCAAAACCGTTTGCGGTGGGGCCGGTGTATTTATTCTTTGTGTTCTCTCAAATCATAATCTTCTGAGTTCTTAAACACCTCTAGTTTTATCTTTCTAAACTATTCTCAGTAAATCATACTTCTTGAATAATCTCTTCTAATCCTGATCTCTCCGATTACTTCTAATACCTTTACTACCTCTACTACTATTGGATTTGAATTGACAATTAGACCTCTGCGCTAATGTGGTATAGCAACGTGAACTGCTGTACTTACATACGAAGTTCTACGTTGCATCTGACTGACTGACATTGTGCGAAACTCCTAAAAACCAAAAAGATTGCTGAGAAAAGAAAAGACACAACTAATGCTACTTATAACAAGTGGAACAGATTTGGTGCAAGTAGGATAAGAAACACAAGCTTCAGGAAAGAATCTGAGGAACTACAGCGATGGAGAAAATGCCTCTAACGAACAGAGGGTCGCAGAAGCCACATATACGACAGGAATCTCATGGGCCTATAATGAGATGCTAATCATCCTTCTTCGCGAAGTTACCAAGTTAAAATTCGATAGATCCAGAAATCAAAATGCAAATAATTTCCGGAAGAAGAAGTATATTTGTCCGTGGTTTCGTGATATCGAAATAATATCAAGACCGGGATAGAGAAGTGGCTAACAACTACCGAGGAAAGAAGCGGGATGGAAATGTCATACCAGGCGCACGCGAGAGTCTTTAGTACAGATAAACAAAAGGAGTACAATAGAACAATAATTGTTAGAATTAAGTACAATAATAATTGTTTCCATTCCAGCAATTGAGGTATCTTCGTAAAAGTATACTACTATACTAGTTTATTCCACTGTGTCGAGTGGATCGTGTAAGGCCTGGAACTTATTGCCGAGAGCTATTTTGAATTCATTAAGCTAGCCAGTATCCCGAAGAAAGGCTGCAATGAACTCTTGTAATGCCGTCTGTCTAGTTCAATGTTTCTTTTGTTTCAGTTTGATCTTGGTC